CTGAAATATCCAGAAGCCGAAAAACAAAATCACAGGACTAGGGAAGCAAATTCTATGAGGAGATTTAAAGCAGAGCTCAAATTTCAACATAATCCAAAGATGAATATCCGATTCGAAATCAAACTACAGAGCGCTAAAAGCAGAATCAATACGTTCCGATCTACACAAGCTGAAGAGAATACGACATGCAGAGACCAGATATTAAGCTCGGAAACTAAAGCAGAGTTCGAATTTAAGATCAAAAGCACTGTAAATCTTACCGAAAACGGTGTTGGTAGGGTTCATAGCGACTTGATTCTTCGCAGCATCTCCGATCAGACGCTCGCTATCGGTGAAAGCGACGTAGGAAGGAGTGGTACGGTTGCCTTGATCGTTAGCGATGATCTCGACTCGGTCATGTTGCCAGACACCGACGCAGGAGTAAGTAGTACCGAGATCGATACCGATTGCTGGACCTTCACCTTTACCCGCCATTAGAATATCAGAAATTCTTCTTCGCCGGAAAAATTAATCGGAAAATTATGAGTGTGAGAGCTTTTTTCTTCTTGTTTGTAATCTGTATGTTTGCTTTGGGGAAGAGAGAGGTGTGTTTAAATATTGAATGAATGGGGTCGGTAAAAGAAGTTCGAGAATGTTCAGGTGGTGTTATTTTCAGCCGTTGGATCTTCTTGTTTCCTTTTTTCGTCTTTGATTCTAGCTCCTTCGAGAGGTCTCTTTTTTGAATAATGTTAAAACTCAAAAGAAATTGCCGTTTTGATGAGAAGTCAAGTCACAAATAAGTATTTTCCTTTTGTGATCAACAATTTTTTTTGTTTTGTTTTTTCACAACATCTCGACCGTCTATTTTACAATTTCCATTCTTTTTGAGTTTTTGCTGTTTTCTTTTTTTACAATTTCCATTCTAATCGGGTAAACTCTCACACGGTAATTGCAAATAAAATTGTAAACCTTCTAGGAGTCAATAATTTTAGAATTTGGTCATAAGACGAGACAATAAAATTGTAAAAAGTTGTAAACAATTTGGTTCATTAGTCTTTGACATAGATCGTTTCTATGGTCATTGGACTGAACATTCTATGGTTGTCTGAACGATATAAGATTAGTTCATTGACAAGCTCGATTCGGCTTAATTAAATGTTAATCTTAATCAGTAATAACTTGCTCATTGAGGTTTGCGTCACCTAAGCATCAGAACAATGGCGTTTAGGTAGGCTGTGCTAAGAGTTTAGCATGGCATGTGAATGTGAAACAACTTAAACCATTTAGCTTCCATTTACTTCGAGGTTTAAGCCCTCAAGGTAAAAAGATCAACGCTTTAAAAAGATGCAAATGCAAATCAAAGCTTATGCTCCTGCCTAGTCGAGAAATGAATAAAGATGTGAAATGGATTAGGAACATCTTCTTGTTCTTGACAACATTTTCATCTCAACAAAGACTGTTTATTATATAATCTCTTCTCAGTTTGAAAGAGATCATCATAACACTACTAGAAGCCTTACATCATCTAAAGAAGGAACACTCAAGTCGCTTCGTATTTGGGATCAGCAGCTACGTAATGATAAGCAATTACCAATGCGAAGATGAAGATGCCAAGGAAATTGACTATAAACCCCAAGTCTTGATCATCAATCATCTGCACCAACACAAACACAACATTTCAGCAAACAATTCTTGTCCCATCAACACACTACAAAAACAAAGAAACAACAGTAATGGATCCAGTGTTTTTTGTATCTTAACCAACTGATCAAAGCCTTTGTCAAAGCCAGATTGTTCCAAAACTTTTCCATTTCGTCAAATGCAGAGACTATTAGAGAAAAATGCAAACTTTGACTCAAAACTAGAGCCTAATAGGTTGCAAAGAGAAACCCAAAAAGGATACAGTTATCTCAACTCAACTAGAGCTAGACCTAAATTCAATGCTCTTTGCTAAAAGAAGAAACTGAAAGTAGAGTTATCAACCCAAAAAGAAGGATGATCCCAGTGGGAATCGAACCCACGACCTTTAGATTCGGAGTCTAACGCGATATCCACTCCGCTATGGGATCACATTGAAGAAGAAGTTGAGACTCAAATCATCTAAACCCCAAAACGTGACACAATCCGACAAAAGAGAATTTGGCAGTTCGCGTCGACAGAGATGGATTCAAAACACAAATGGCGACCATAAGAAAAACTCTCTGTCGCGACAAACACACAGCTCAGACTGAGACCGAGACTGACCATATCAGAAATCAAACACACTTGTTGGAACCAGATCTCTCAAGAAGCGATCCGTAGATTTTTAAAAACTAAGGGAGAGATTTACCGTTTTATCAAGGACGAGAATCGGAGCGAAAGGATCAGATCTCCAGGAACCAGAATCGATTTTACAGAACAGAACAAGTATTAGATCTCGGTCTTTCGATGTGTCTATTTATTTACTTTTCAGTTCGCTCACAGAAGAAGCCTGGCCCAATATTTAATTATATTCCAAAACGTGATTTTATTTTGTGAATCAATTGGTAATTGTG